GAGGGGTGGGGTGGGGGAATCAAAAGCTGTTGCTGAACTGTCTATAGGTTTGAAAGCGTTTCTCTGAAAAAGCTTAGAGAGCACTGCGGGATTTGTGCCTTAACCGCTGCTCCCTTCTGCCTCTGCGGGGACAGCCTGCATGTTTGAGTTCTGTTTCTTAGCTCAGGCAGAAATTGGTAGATCTGAGGACTTATGTCATGCATTTCCAAGCTGCAGCTTAGAAAGCATCTTCTGATGGTGTTGCTGCCCTGTTGACATTAAGCAATTGCTCATGCTGTGGTCTGACTGATGCTTGGTGCTTCTTTCCCTAAAAAAACTAAAGATCGTGGCAGGTTGAGGCCCCTTGCAGTGGTCTTAACCCACTGCCTTCTTCCATAAACTCTTACCTGGGGCTGAGGCAAGGCCTGAGGTGCAGCCTGATGCTGTGGTGGGAGGCACGCCGTTTCTCCCTGTGGTTTCTGAGAGGGATTTCCAAGTAGGCTGACTCTGGGTCTGTGCTAGACAAAACCTGTGTTGGAAGTTGCTAGAACTCAAATCTGTTATCGCTGCTTCCCCCAGCCTTGCAACAGAAGTCGCTGTTCACCTGGCAGCATGTCCTTGGATTGCCTAGGCTTGTCAATGGTAGAGGGTGCGGGGGCTCAATTATCTGTTTTTAGGGTGTGGTGGCAATGCCAATTAGGATGAAGTCAGTTGTTTCTTAGGAATTTTTTTATCTTGCATCTGTTGGACCTGCTCCCTTTCCACAGCTGTAGCCCCTAGGGGGTTGAAGAGCACAGGTGGGAAGATGTGTTGAGTGATGCAGGCTGGAGTCAGCCAAGTCCTGTCACCCTAGTACTTGGCTCATCCAGTGCTCACCCTCTTTTTGTGTGTGCACATGCTTCTTGCTTCACCGGTGCCCTACCCTTGCTCTCCCCTCTTCACCTGCCTTCAGCCCAGATAATGCCTGTGCCTTTCAATGCACCATTGAACACACTGCCCCCTTCTCCTCTCAGCTATTGCCCAGGGAGCTTTTGCACCTCACTAGGCGAGGGAACAAGTGCCCTCTGTGCTGCCACAGTGAGGACAGACAGGGCAGCATGCAGGTTTGCCTCCTTTCCACTCAACCGTGCTCGTGCCCATACTATGGGCTATATAACCTGCTTCTTTCTGCTCTCCAACAGCCTCTATTACATCACGCTCTTCACCTTCTCTTTGGCCCTTGTTCACTTCCTCTCCGAGGTCTTCATTTACCACACTGCAGCCTTGACAATTGGAATTATGGCACCCCTCATGGTAGCAAGTAAGTAGAGCTCTGCATCCTCCCCCCACAAACTCTTCTTAGAGCTGTGACCCCATAGAAAAACTCTGCATGGGGCTATAAGCTAAGGACAGGGAGGGGAAGGTGGGAGGGAATGCCTCATCTCCTGTCCAGCATTTTCTACACAACTCATCCTGTATCTCCATGACAGGTTTCTCTATCTTGGGGATGTTGATTGGGCTGCAGTACCTGGAGGTAGAAGCACTGCCACAAAACAAGAAGAAAAACTGAAGCTGATGGCCCTGTGTAGGTCAGCGTTGTCTCCTGTCTTCACTGCCAAACTTTCACTAAAGCTCGGCTGAATTTCTACAGGACACCAGTCCTACTGGTAGGTCGATATTGGACTCTTTCAATCATTCTTCATTACCAAGTCTTTTTTCTTGTCCAGGCAGCTTTAAACTGACTGATGTCAAAGACCAGGTCCCAGAGGAGTTTGTCAAAGCTTGCAGGGGGCAGTTGGTGACTGCCTTCCTGGAGGATAGCAGGCAATGTCTCAGGTGTGCCCAGGGCACTAAGTCCCAGAGTACCAGTCGGGAGGAGGTGTAGAGCTACCCAGGATCTACTGAACACTGCGGACCAGAAAACAAGAATGTGTGCTGCCTCTGGCACTGCTGTGTAACTTGCATGTGTGTGTTTCTCAGGGGCCATTTCTAATAAATGACAGAAAACTGCAGGGTATCATGTCTGTCTTTCTCCTACACAGCAGCAGGTAGAGGACATACAACTTCAGAGCGAACAGCAGTTTCTACTGTATGTTGCAGGATAAATCATCTCTCTTTACAGTAAAACCACCTTTCCCTGACTCCTTCCCACAAAGTTCCAGGTCTGACTGCTCACATCACACACACATCAAGAGTTGTTGCAGCTCTTGCTTCTGCAGCATACTAGCAACAGCAAACTGCATGCATCTGTGAGCAAGGACTGAGCTATCTTTGCAGTGAGGTATTGCTACAGAAGATGAAGAAAATGGGAACAGGTAGCTTAGACCTAGATGAAATAATGCCTAAAGCAGATGGGCAGTGCACAGAAGGTAGGGAGGAACAAGCAGGAGCTCGTAGCTGGGAAGACAGTGTATGTGCAGAAGAAAGAAAGGAAAAACACAGAAGGGAGGAAAGCACTGGGCAGAAAGATTTTTCCATTCTGCAGAACATTTTGGGCTATTAAAAGAGCCAGATGTAGACTGTTTCAACCATTTAATCTGAATGTGTCCAGTTTCATCGTACACTTTAAGTGTTTTCATTTGATATAAAAACTTTTATTGAAAAGCCATTTTAGACCCCCATCCTCAATCCCAAACTATCAAAGATAGGACTTGACTTTTTTAATGTGTCAAAAGACTGCATGATTTCACACAAAAAATGTTTTATCAAAAACAGTGTGTCAGAGAGGAATTCCACACAGTTGTGGGTCTTGTCCCCTCCCCCCCACCTAATATATGCATAATTGCATGATTTAAGGAGTATAAGGACACTTGCTGTCTCCACCAGTGGAGGGATGCTGGTAAGGAAGGAGAAGGGGATATAAGGATTCACACTTGTGTTTTAGAAGATAAACAGCAGCATAGAGAGGGGCAGTGTCTATGAGACACAAATGCTGGTAAGAGGGCTGCTTCTCCTGTTCTCTGTTACAAAGTGGGAAACTTCCACACTGGAGCAGATCTGGATTCCTATCATACTCAAAAACCCTGCCTGTGGCTGTGAAAAGCAACACAGCCTGGGCTGGTTATCTCAATGTAACACTTCACAAAAGTCTTTATGTAGTGTTGAAACATGCAAAAGGTACCTTATCATTAAGGAGGAAGGCACAGCCCTCAGCCCAGGGAGCTTCTGGTTTGATTCATGCCTATTGCTAGCATAGTGATGAGCTAAGCTTGGGCTGTAGCTTCAGCATCAGCTGCAGAACTAGTCCTCGCTTCCAGGTATCTCTCAATTACTCCTAATATATAGGAGCATCAGGGCAACCTCAGTGACTTCTGAGCGGAGGTTTATCCACAGGCTAGGAGTGCTTCATCTGGGACAGCCACATAATAAAACCAGAGCCAGCAACAGCAGATGCACTGCTTTGCACTTGTGGGTGATGTGCTGAGGCCTCTACCGTCACCTGTGCAACATAGAGCATCATGGGCACCAAGGCAGAGCAATCCCTCTTGCTGAGAGCCAGCTGAAAGCTCTTCCAGGGCTGTTCCAGCTTCTGCATTTCATGTCACAGCTTGCCTGCAAGAGGAGATACAGCCACGTGCAGGGTGCTACCCTCATGTGTCAAGGGTAGCCTGAACCATGGCTTTTCTCAGCATGTCTGCTTTCTCTTTTCCAAGCATACATGGTGGGATGGGGGTGTGTTTTCCCAACTTTTCCTCCCAAGAAGCAAAGTCTCCAAAACAGCAAGGTGCAGTAGTATAACTGAAGAGAGTGACTCCCTTCTTGTTTCGCTCTTTTACACTCTCCACAAGCAGTTCACTGGGCTCCTGTCCTGAGGCTGCCCCCCATTGCCATGGTGCACATGTAACAGGAGGACAGTGTAGGTAGCAAAGAGTGGAATGAGGGGGGCCGTATCTACCAGATCTGCCACTTCTCCATTTCACAGCTTTGATTCCTCAAGGACTATGGGATCAGCGCAGGCTTCTGGCATCACTTTCTATGAGTCAAATGGAGAAAAACAACATGGTTAGGGTCCTGGGTGGCCAGACCCAGGCTTCAGAGAGACCAGCTGGCCAGAGGCTGGCTAATTTGTAGCTCCCTGCTAATGTGCAGAAATCCCCAATGAAGAATCACCGTCCTCAGAGAGTGCACCTCGTTCCCTCCTCCTTCTCCAGGCCCTTCTACTCAACAGACAAGGGGCACTGGGGCAGCAGGGCAGAGCAAGGGACTCACTTCCCTTAAGCTACTTGCTGTAGTCCTCAGACCACAGTTAGTTCACAGAAGCTGTACAGGCCCAGGTATCAGCCCCAGAGCCAGCTCACTAAAGACATTTCACTGTGACACATTATCAGCCTCAAAGCGGTGAAGGTGCTGAGCCAGTTCCCTGGGCAAGGGAGGGAACTGGGAACTCCTCCTTCATGTCATGGGGCAGTGCAGTGTCTGTGCAAGCACCAGAGAGAACCTGCATCTTGTGCACCCTCAGGAGGCTCAGCACAGCAACTAGCTCCTCTCTGTCCTTACTCTGGCACATCTGAGGGCCTTTTCAACCCGCAGACAGATTGCTGGTTCTGCTCATCTTCAAGTCTTTTCATCCCCACCCCCTATTCAGGGCTGGCACCCTCTGCCCTGCTTCTTCCCTGTCCCCAGTTTGGACTTATAGCTGGGACAGTTCCACAGAGTGGTACAGATAAGGCCCTCAAAGTTCCTTACTCATATCTTAAAGAGCCATAAGAAATAAGAGGCAAACATACACAAGTTTTTCTGCATAAATCCTATAAAAGAATTAGCCTGATTACTTGAATCATCCTACAATTTTTTCCCTTAAGATGGAAGGAGCTTTAGAGTCATTTCCCAGAGGAAAAACAAGGACAACTGAAACTGCTGCCCAATTACCACACTATCTTGAGCTGTATAAAACAGCCAAACTTTCACAATTCCAGTGCAGCCTTCCCGGGTAGACCTTGATGAGCTCCTGTCTGAGCCCTTCTGGGGTATGTTAGGATTAGACCTGAGATTTCTCCTTCCCCCAGGGGATTTCAGATACCTCTCCACATTCTGACTCTGCTTACAGTGAGACACCCCAGTTGTCACTGATTCAGTAGACGGCATGCAGACTTGTAAGGGTGAGTGTGGTGTGTCTCACAGCCTGCTCTGAGTTAACTCACTGTAGGGCAAGACTGACGTCTGAGGCAGGAGACAGAGGTGCACAGGAAAGAGGTTCACATCCCCAATGCAGTTCAAGAGAAGTCCAGGCAGCATGGAAGCAAGAGATTTGAAACACTTTCATTTTGAGTAGCTTCTTACACAAACTGCAGGTGAAAAGGTTTTATAGAGGTCAGCAGCAGTATCCCAAAGCATCAGGAAAGCTTCAAACAGTTGCCTGGAAGCAAAAGCCAGGAAGTGCAAAGAGGGAACTCCTACCTGCAGGAGGGGAAGGGAGTGTATGAAGTAGTGCCAGAGGTACAAGTAAGGGGAAAGCTGAATTCAGGCTTGGGAACCCCCACCAGAATAGATCATGGAAGCACTCCAGCAACTCTGTACAGGCTCCTCAAGCACCTCTGGGGTCTGACCACCACTCACCTGCTGTGGAGCTACAGGAACAGAGGTTTAGGAGATCAGCCAGCCAGCAGAGCTCCACCACCTTGGGAAAGGAAGGCTGTTCTCACAGCTGGGAGTCACAGTACTGGAACTGGACATGCAGAGGCTTGTGCCTGGCTTTGGGATAGGAGGATTGCTTGCCACAGTAAGCACAGAAAGGGAGCAGGGAAGTTTGAGAAGCAAGGTGTGGGGTACACTCTGCTTGTGTGCCTACTATGCAAAATTCCAGCAGTGTTTTTTTTATTGGCAGTATTTCCCTGGAGAGTAAGCATGCTACAGCTTGCAAGGGACTCCAGTAAGCTACTGAAGGTGGATGCTTGCCCTAATGTCCTAAGCCAGCCTCTAAATCTCACTGGCCTTGGGAGGAAAAAGCAACATGCTTTTGGGTGTTCCACTGAGATCCATCAGATGCATTTTTGCATCCAGGCAACATACAACGAGTAAAAAAAGGTACTTGGACCTGATAGAGTCCTGACTTATCCAGGACGTTGTTTGCGAACACAACAGAATTTCAGTCCCGTTTTAAACAAATCCCTTGCTGTGGCTGTACACCTAGAGCAGGTCACTGGTCATCCAAAATCATCCACTTATCAGTGCTCAGCCCTGCTGGTAGCATAACACTCCAGACAAGTGTTTTTAATTTTATTACAGTTCAAAAACCAGGACAAAGTCTGAAACCACTTTACTCCCTACTATCAAAAATAGGTTCTTCATACACACACACACAAAATTAATCTATCACTATATAAGCCTGGCACAGTAGTCTCAAGTGCCCTGAACACAGTAATCAAACTTGCAAGTTTGAAAGACGCCCAGCAAAGCCCAGTTTGAATGAAAACACAGTCCTGCCATTTTGGAATCCTGCAGTCTGTATGATATGCTTTCTTAAAAACCCACACAAGCTTGAAAGTATTTCCAAAGAAATGTTGCCTAAGACTTTTTCTTGAACAATTCACTCCTGAGTCAAAACAAACTATGGAAAAATCAGCAAAGATG